ATAATAAGATTATTGTGACTGGTGATTTTAATCTACATGTTGATAATTGTAGTATGACATATCCTGAGATATATTCATACACTAAACGGGTTCACTCATCTTTCTGGACTGTGTGATGTACGTGCGTTGAATTTAACAGAAATGTGGACGTGAGACATTAATTATCTTTGACTCACCAAGCGAGTGGGTCATTTATTAACAGAATCAAGTTTAACACATCACACATTTACATTAATTTGGCAGAATATGAAAACAACAACATAATTAATCAGCTTTACAACCAGGAAACCATACGGCCATGGTTTTCCGTTGCTTCACCACAGACATTAATGAAAACATCTGGATTAATTTTCTAGCAGAAAGGAGAGTTTAAAGATGGAAAATTGAGATTTATCTTACAGAGAGATGTGTGAGGGAATTTGTCTGTGTTAACCAGAACGTACACGCTCCTTCGGAACTCAGCTTGTCCCAAACAGTACACTTTTGGTGAAGGTCGACTTTTACCTTTTCTGAAGATAGATCAGTTCCGGCGTGGAGTCTCACTTCCAACCACTGTTCAGCGTCTCAGTGAGAACAGCCAAATACCTCGAGAGCCGTGCGAGGTTATCCAAACAGAAGTTATAATTCCCAAAATCGTCTCTGGTTCAGCTTGTTTGGTTTAGCAGCATCCATGAATGCCTGCGGTTGCATTCACGAACTCCCAAAAACTCTGCATTCTACTGCTCTCTTCTCTCTGAACTAGGAAGTGCCAACCTTTTTATGAAGGGTCACTTCCGGTTCGTTTGAGAGCCTCTGATTGGCCGATGGACCCCAACAGAGGTGTGGTTTGTGATGTAAGGTGTTATGGAAAGTCAAGGATAGAGATTAAGATTGTTTAAGAACAGACAGAAAGATTGTTGGAGAAAACCAGTCTTAGTGGCGTCTCTACTCAGTATCTTGCTGTAAAAGTTAAACATGACATTTCTTTTCAGTAAACTTTCTAGTTGACCGAAGCTTGAACTTTAACACACTTACAACTTTGCTCATTGAAGACAGAAAAATCAAGAAATGCATATTAACCTGATTTCTTCTTTGAATGAGGATTAAGGATCATTATTTACTGTTTCACAGTTAATAAAAATGAGTAGTTCACTTCAACATGTAAACATTGTTTGAACTAACACAATTTGATTATCAAAACATTTGTAAAATAGTAATGATCATAGAGAATTGTCTTTTCCACTTGATTAATTCAAGAAAGAAAGTCTCAGGATGGGTCAAACTGTATTTCTGGATTCAAATCAATGAAATAACAGTTTCTGACCATATGATCCTAAGGTCATTGATTTGACATCAGGTCAAGTTCACTACATAATCCATCAGATTCTTTGTCTAAACAGTTTTTAGAAACTCTGAACTGTATGGATTTTATTCAGCACGTCAAGCAGCCGACTCACAACAGGGGACACACCCTTGACCTTGTTATTACCTATGGCTTGGCCTCTGGTGTGTCCTCTGTTGTTGACCTGACTGTGTCTGACCACTGTTGTGTGTTTTTTAATGTCACTGATTTGATTCAGCGGAAAGCCACGGTCCGAACTGTTAGGAGGCGCCATCTTACCCCTGAGGTGATTGATAATTTTATTAGAGATTTTACCCAAAATTCCCCTCTTATTTTAACTGCTTCCTGCGATTCAATGGTCAGTCAATTTTTTTAACAAACTGAAAACAAACCTGGATCATGTAGCTCCACTATTTTCAAAACAAGTTTTTATTAAACGAGTATGCCCGTGGAAAACTGAAGACATAAAGAAACTCAAAAGAAATTGCAGGAAAGCAGAGAGGAAATGGAGGAAAAACAAATTGACAATCGACTACCAAATAATGTGCGAACAGCTTAATATCTACAATTCTGCTGTCAGAAATTCAAGAAATGCATATTTTGCCAAAATAATTAACAATCACAAAAATAATCCCAAAATTTTGTTTTCTACCATTGATAATCTGATTAACCCTGACTTTACTGCTTCTTCAAATACTCCAACGCTCTTTGTGAGCAGTTTGCAAATCACTTCAGAGGTAAGATTGAGTCAATTAGAGCTAACATTTTATCTGAGCAAAATACTGGTTTTAAATCTATTGAATGCTTGTTTTCACCTGAGCAAACACTGGACGAGTTTGATGTGGTTGATGCAGAGCTGCTCAGCAGAGTTTTCTCACAAGTCAAACCAACCACCTGCCTCTTAGACCCAATTCCCTCACCACTTTTTCATTCATTTTATAGATTCTTTGAGAATGAAATTTTAAGCATTGTAAACTGCTCTCTTCAGATGGGTGTCTTCCCCATTGCCTTTAAAATGGCTGTGGTGAAACCCCTTCTGAAGAAAAGTAATCTAGATCATAGTGTTTTTAATAATTACAGACCTGTATCCAACTTACCATTCTTAAGTAAAATCTTAGAAAAGCTTGTTTTTATTCAATTAAATAGCTTTTTAAATGATGCTGGTGTTTTAGAAAAGTATCAATCTGGTTTTAGGATGAACCACAGTACAGAGACAGCCCTATTAAAAATTGTGAATGATTTAAGGTGTAATCTGGATTCACACAAGCTCTCAGTTCTTGTTCTATTGGATCTGAGTGCAGCCTTTGATACAGTAGATCATCAAATTCTTCTAAATAGATTAAAACACCTGGTTGGTCTTTCTGGTACTGTTCTTCTGTGGTTCAGCTCCTATCTCACAGATAGAACCTTTATGGTAAGTATGGATACATGCACCTCGCAGATCCATGAAGCCAACTATGGCGTCCCCCAAGGCTCTATTTTAGGCCCCCTACTTTTTAATTTGTACATGTTGCCGCTTGGTGGAGTCATCAGGAGCCATGGGATGTTTCCACAGTTATGCTGATGACACACAGCTTATTATCTCATGATGACCCCCGGCCAATCACTGCACTTTTTAATTGCATTTCAGACATAAAGTCCTGGATGGTACAGAACTTTCTCCAGCTAAATCAGGACAAAACAGAAGTTTTAATCATTGGACCGGAGGTTCAAAAAGAAAATACAATTCAGAAATTACAATCTCTGTCTTTAAAACCTTCCAAAAAAGTAAGAAGCCTGGTGGTTCTTTTTGACTCTGAGCTTATTTTTATTTCACATATCAAACATATAGTCAAAACAGGATTTTACCATCTAAAAAATATAGCCAGAGTCCACCCTCTTCTCTTTCACTAATACTGAGACTTTGATGCACGCTTTTATATCTAGCCGTTTAGACTACTGTAATGCACTGCTTTCTGGTCTCCCTAAGAAAAATGTATCCAGCCTTCAGCTGTTACAAAACTCTGCTGCTCATGTGCTAACCAAAACCAGAAGGCAGGCTCATATTACACCTGTTTTAAAATCATTGCATTGGCTCCCTGTGTGTCTCAAGGTTGATTTTAAGATTCTTTTAATGGTTTTTAAATGTCTCAATGGTCTCGCACCATCTTATCTTGCAGAGCTGCTATTACCCTATGAACCCCCGTGGACACTAAGGTCCTCTGGCACTGGACTACTAACAGTTCCAATAGTCAGAACTCACACTTACGGCGAGGCTTCTTTCCAGTACTATGGCCCCCGTCTGTGGAATAGTCTGCCGGAGAACCTGAGGGCCGCAGAGAATGTTGTTGTTTTTAAGAGCAGGCTCAAGACCCATCTTTTTAACTGTATTTCCTGAACTCTAAAAAAGTTAAATCTGGTCCTCTGGACATTCAAAAAAAACAAAAAAACAACGCATTTTCTAAACATAACGTCCCAGTGGCTTTTAAACCCCAAAATACATTACGGCAAAGACTGGTTCATCCCAAAGATCCAGTCCCTCGATACAAACAGAGTAATATTGTGTATGCTGTTCAGTGTCAGGAGGGCTGTGATCAGTCTTACATCGGGGAAACTAAACAGCCACTGGCCAAAAGGATGGCCCAGCACAGAAGATCAACATCATCAGGCCAGGACTCTGCGGTCTACACTCATCTCCAGGCCAGCGGTCACTCTTTCAGGGATGAAGATGTTCACATCCTGGACAGAGAGGAATGATGGTTTGAGAGAAGAGTAAAGGAGGCCATCTTTGTGAAAAGAAATCGTCCATCATTAAACAGGGGTGGAGGCCTCCGGGTTCAACTGTCCCCCTCTTACAATGCTGTGATTGCTAGTATCACTCAGCCCTCTGTGAATAGTAAACAGCCATCAGTGTGCTAATGATCCATTGTTAGGCTGATGGTCCTTCTTGAGCATGTGA